CATATGGGTACATTTCTTTGCTGTTTTTTTTCTTTCTTTCTTTCTTTTCTTTCTTTTTCATTCCAATCTACAGAAATAGTACATTTATTTATTATTTTTTATTATTGTTTAAATGTATTTTTTACTTTCAATATTTTTTATTTATTTTAGTCTTGCCATGAATATGAATACTCTCAAGAAATACATTTTCACACACTTTTTTGAGTTCTATTTGTTGCACCAAGTTACCTAAAGTTTGATATATAATATATAGCTTATATGTTTTTCTCTCCTTCTCTTTTAAAGAAAATGAATATTTAGTTCCTAAGTAGCTCCTTTTCTCATTCCACCATTTACCCCAGTGCAATATCAACCAGAGAGAGCACCAGCGACATCGACATCCAAATCTTCCAGCTGCTATGTGAAAAGGCCAACCACCAAGCCCAGGCAACACATGAGGCCACCCTCATGTACCTGGCAAGGCTTCCGAGACCCATAAACTTCAATAAAGTTTGGACACTGCCTGCTCTTTGTGGTCAAGAAAATGGGGTCTGTTATGCAAGATCGGGAGGGCTTGCAACACATTGTGAACCACCACAGCTCAAGTTTGAAAAAAGCAATTGAAAGTGCAGCTTAAAAAGATTGATAGAAATAGATGGGTGGTAATATGTATTGCTAATATCAAGTATAATTGTTTTGATTTGCCTGGATGTGTCTGTGATAAAGTGTGATTAAATATTTGAGTAAGAACTTTCCACTCTTTCCTTGTACCTCTCTTGTACATGCTACACATAAATTGTATTAGAAGTGACTTGAAAACTGCACAAAAGTTGATTACAAGTGAAAATTTCAAATATTCTGCCAAGATTAAACATGGTCTTTCACCAATACCCACACAGTAAGAAAAGGCATGAGATAAAACCAACAGTATTTAAAACAAATTTATTTCACTTAATTTATTCTGTACAAATAAAGTAGTCTATTTACCATACTTTATTACAATAAATTACCAGTGTGGTAATACATATACATCTATCTATTGATTTCAGGGCCATGATGGTTTCTCTCCCTCGGCCAGTTCTCTTCCGTAGAGTGCTGATTTGTCCCTGAAAGATAAAATAAAAACAGTGAAGAACATAAATAACGATATATTTACAAAAGAAAAATAATAATAATAAAAATAAAAAGAATTTGTACAGAAAATACATAATATTACATCTGGGGAAATGCAGACAAATATCAGAGGGGAACTAATGTGTGTTACTTAAAAACTGTATATAGTTAAAAGTATTCATATATTCTTTAGAGTATCTTTTGCAAGGCTAAAATTCAGACATATAAATTGCTTTTAACAAAGAACATTATCAATGCATAGCTACATAGCATGCCTAAATTAATTTGTCCTAGTTAACCCTTTTTACATAAAAATATTACTTGAAAAACATCTATTCCTGGCATCTTAGACTTTTCTACAATACCAAATTAGTCTTTTTGCTGCTAACAGAAGCCACATAATTCAACAATACATCTCCGACCCATAATTACATAGCACCCTCAAAAGCAACATGAATGATCATTACTGAGAAACTAACTAAAGGTAAATGTAAGCAAAACAAGCAAGATGAAATGTGAAATTAATGTAACTGCACTACAGACTGCAGCATAATCATTCTACAATGCTAAATCCCATGCCATTTTCTAGTTGAATAGTTTCCATGAAACAACTGGCTGTATTAATTTAATCTTGAGTCATTTAGTTGTAATAAATATACATAATAACTTAACATTTACTTTCATAGGTAATAAAATTAAATCATACAATATTTCATGCATATAGGCAGTAGTGCCATCCACCAATGAAAGTATGTAAAGGGAACCATACCCTTTTTATATACATTCATGTACATATTTTTTCTATACATTCTTTATTAAAGACACCTATTTCAATATTTGAACTCTGTGCCTGCCAGAAGTCACCACAATTCCAGCAAAATTGTGTTGACATTTTTTTCTAAACATGTAATTTTGACACTTCAAGATTATCGGTTAGCAAGTGGTAGCGAAAGTCCTCGTAACACAGAACATAATTTTCATATAGTCTAATAACTAAGATATTTTGCCCCAATGCTGCTAGAAAAAGGTGATGTTCTGTAGTACTGTTTTATGAAATGTCTCTTTACATAAATGACTCCACGTGTTCAGCTACCAAGTAACATCATCTGATTTCCCCGTTCCTTGAGTTTTGGGGATTTTTTTCTAGTATTATTCATACAGATGCTATTATCATTATCACTGACATAATTATTACAATGTTATTAATAATACTAATAGCAATAAAAAAATATATTTCCAAAAATCAATGAAACTGGTAAACAGCTAAGATAGGTAGGATTAGGTGGGCATGGCATGTCTATATATACCATCCCTAGAGCCAATAGGTTAAGATTATAATGAGTAAACTGAAATTGCAATGGTTACACAAAAGTCTTATTGTGCATAAGTGAAAAGAGAAGGCAATTTTTTTTTCACTAAGAAAGCATATTAAATTTGCTCTCCCATTTATAACCTACACATACTGGCTAGACTTGACCTTCCTTAACCCACCATGCAATATCTGGGCAAAATCTTACCTGAACATGGTCATTCTATTTGTCTCTAGGTTGTCGAGGAAGGACCCAACCATGAAGCCCAGTAAAGGAACAGACAGGAGCTTGAAAGCAATTCAAGCTTGACATTGGGCAAAGAAACTCATGGTGTAGATCTAAAGGGCTGTCGCAATACCTGGAAGAAATGGGACATGCCATTAGATGAATAATAAGGGCAACATTTGTAAATAAAATGTGTTAATCTTTACGGTGTGGATGCACTAGGTTAGGGCAAACTGAATATGATATTCTTGTAAAGATCAAAAAGTTGTGGTTGTCGTACAAGAAACAACTTGCAGACACGAACAGTAATGCATAAAAGAAAGGAAAAAGATCGTGGAAAAGCACCTCTCTCAACCTAAGTCAACTGAGCAGACATAATAATTTAAAGTACACAGTAACATAGAATTGTTTCTTTCCCATTCAGAAATGATACAACAGACGTCATGATACAAAACCCTAATTCTGGATTGCTCTTATTCTATATCATCATTTCTCTACTGATTTACCATAACCTTTTTTTTCAATAATTTGTATATTTACTTGTTAACCACTAGCTGACGGATGGCATGTACATACATGCCATGGCTGTTGTGGACTGTAGATGGCAGTATCATGCCATTTTAGAACAATGGCACATATAATGAAGGTAAACTTCAAAATTATAATATTTTTGCAAATTATAGCAATTTTAAAGCTTTTAGGTGCAAATGTCGCCTCAAATTACCAAACCAGCTGGGCACAAACAAGGAAACTGCTAATGCACGCCTACAATCCATTGCCAAACATTTTTACACCGTCAGCATTGGTTTCTTTACTTTTTAACTAAGCTTAATAACTAACGTGATTTACAGAAATGTGAAATGGAGCAAACAAAGGCCACAGAGACTGTCACCATTAGGTCAAACTTAAGATCTAGGCTTCCTTTAAAGATCACTGCATGTTGCAAGGAGCTTTCACATGAAAATCAGCTAATCATAATGCGATAATGTTTGATTTTAAAAAACTAGTGCAAAATTGTTGCAAACATTTAGCAGAGATGTATGTATTTACAAGGACATTCCAAGAGTTCTATATTAAATGATACCATGCAACATGGTAATTAGAAGTCATATAATTTTTTCATGGACTTCTAATTTTCTCCATACAGTCTTATGATAACCAGAACCAAATGTAAGTATATTTAGAACATACGATTATGCAATCGTGCTGGGTGTGTATGTATGCGTACACACGTACACACCCACATACCGACTATCATTTTCTTTTGAATTATAATAAACATAAAATCATCCTAACAAATCCCCCCAAAATCCAAATCCTCCACGAAAATTGATCCTTTCACGACATTGGACTTTAATTAATTAAGTAATAATAAATGACAATAAAATTATCGTAGGCCTAACTTCAATATTCCCGAACGCCCTACAAAATGCTCCAGAAAAGACACTTACCTTCTTTATCAACAACACAGACACTTGAGTACTAATAACCAATCACAAAAAGAAGATAAAATAATGGTACCTTCAAGCCGATTCTGCAAGTGCAGCGGCGGCCTTTTCGGCTTTCCACTTTCGAGTGTGTAAAAGTCTGCTGTAATCGCCGAAAATGTTACTAGCGGGAAGAATATAACGACTTTGTACTTTCGGAGGAAGCCTAGAGCTGTTAATCTTGGAGCCATCAAGCCTAAATAGGGAGAAAATGAGGTTGATTTGGGAATTATAACGTATTGCCGATCAGCTGTTTTGTACTTACACAACAACCTTTTCTCCGGTCAATATGGCTGACGGTGAGGCAGAGACTACGGGGTTAGCATATTATGATATTCGAACGTTTAGATGAGTTAATTATTGGTTGTGGTTGATTTATTTTTCTATGTATTTTCGGGGTATATTTGGAACGTTTTAGGATTAAAGACATATTTGGGAAATACTTTGGGTCAGCGTACAAGTTTAGAGGCGTTTTTGAAAGTAGAGAGAGAGAGAGAGAGAGAGAGAGAGAGAGAGAGAGGAGAGAGAGAGAGAGAGAGAGAGAAGAGAGAGAGAGAGAGAGAGAGAGAGAGAGAGAGAGAGAGAGAGAGAGAGAGAGAGAGAGAGAGAGAGAGAGAGAGAGAGAGAGAGAGAGAGCGAGAGCGAGAGAGCGAGAGAGAGCGAGAGAGAGCGAGAGAGAGCGAGAGAGAGCGAGAGCGAGAGAGAGAGAGAGAGAGAGAGAGAGAGAGAGAGAGAGAGAGAGAGAGAGAGAGAGAGAGAGAGAGAAGAGAGAGAGAGAGAGAGAGAGAGAGAGAGAAGAGAGAGAGAGAGAGAGAGAGAGAGAGAGAGAGAGAGAGAGAGAGAGAATTAGACATACAGCCACATACACATACACAGACATACAGAT